CTGGACGAGCCTGCTTTTATTTACGTCCGGTTAAAAGGATTTTAATGCACGTCGAGCGTTCGCCGGTGTCACCGTTCGAAAATGCGCGCTTAATAATACACTGTCCGACAAATTAAAGCCTTTTTCCCGATTTCGAATATTCATTGGACGATTCTTGTAGAGTCTCTCGTTCCAGACGGTTTTACGAGAAACGTGAGTTTTTGTGAAAACACGCGATTTTGGCGTGGTAGAATTATTTACATAACGAGAGAAAATGCTATTTTCCTTCTAGCGTTGATTTTATATCGAAAAGTTTTGCGGATTTTGTAACTTTTCTTTCTTTACCTCTGCGATTTTTAAAATGAAACTCGTTAAGTGCGTTTCAATATTTAGGGAAAAACAGTCATCTTTATTTCCCATCTATCATGCATACTTGACTTACCTTGCGTGATGCATTTTCCGCTTCTGAAACTAAAGAGTTCAGAGACGAAAGAAAATTCGTAGGCTGATCTGAAAGAAATTTCCAAAAATGCCTGCAAAGTGTGTTTTCAGAAATGTAAAAGACATTGTCAATGAATGTGTAATTACTGCAGGGAATTATTTTCAAAGGTACCATTTCAATTTACAATAATCTTCTATTAAAAGTCTTTCATAATGTTAGTCGGGATATTTTTTTTAACTCAAATCTAGTATGAATAGTTCATACCATTGATCACTCCTCCACCGAAAATCTCTACGCTATTTTTCCGCGCTACCAATACCGTGGCGCGACAGGAGAAATTTCCGTGAACGTGAAACACGGAATAACATCCGGTCGAGCGGAGAAGACGATTCAAAGGACGGTCGTTGTACGAGATCATTCGCTCCTCCATGTTCATTTCCCCGCTTGCCGACGTAATCGCCATCATTCGACGAAGAAATCGGCGAACGTTTAATTAAAATCCTTTCCGTACGACTCTCGATGAACGGGGTCAGATAATGGCGGATAGTTTATCGTATCGCCAATCTACAAACCGGTAGAGATCACCCAAAACTGCTGAAACTTACATCGTAAATCTGCGCTCCTGACAATATTTCTTTCGCCGCTTTAAAAATTTCGAGCCTTCTGGCGCGCTTCCGTATTAATTCAAGCTTCAATTCTATCCTTTGCACTCTTTCACCTTAATTGAATGAAGCAAATTTTACTAATTTCAACAGATAATAAATTTTACAAATGACGAATTTTTAAATTTTAAAAAGAAAAGATTTTGCGGCCGTTGTGGAACATTTGTATTACCACACTATCGTCTGCCGCAGCGAAAGGGTTTAGAAGACTTTACGATGTCATTTTTATGCAGCTCGCAAGGGCAGAAGCCTGGAGACTTTTGCCCCGATAAATAATTACCTCTTTGCATGCGAAAGCTATTTTTGATGTCCTGACGAGAGAAGTTGAAGTTTACAACCTAAAAATTTTACAAATTCGCTTCTCTCAGGCGAGAAGCAGTTAGGTTTGCAATACACAGCTAGACTAAGTTCACTCTAAATAAAATAGCAAACCTCAAATCATAGTGATGACTAGTTTCCCAAAGACGATTCGTGTGCTCCTTAGAGAGGAAATCAGACGGCACTACTGTGCAATAATTCAAGGGTTCCCTGATAGCCACAGTATAGTACAAGTCACCAACAATACCGAATGTATTAAAGAATACATGACTAGATTATTGGTTGGACTTTTTACTTAAACAAAATTGCATTTATACGAATTTCTTCGAATTAACGGTGCATTTTTCTGGTGATTCGTGGCATTAAGTACGTTTTTACGTCTCTGGAAAGCTACTTGTCTTACCCATCCAGACATAAACCGCGCCTCCGAAAGCGTTTTCGAAAGTTTGAAATTATGAAGTAGAATGCATTGGCCCGCGGCAGCTGAAAGATAGCGTAAGCACTTGGAAAAGTATTTCAACTCGATTCCTTGACACGTCGAGAAAATCGCCATTACGCGAGCAGCGACGAAATTCTGTTGCAATTTCTCACCTAACGCGGATTTGTTAGCTGTGTACAATAATCGATATCGTGAAACGTCGAGATTGTAGCTGTAGCAGTTCGAAAAATTATAATTACTGCTTGCTTTCGCTAACGAAAAATGTTGCTTTAATTATTTCGATAGCAATTTGTCGGATTAGAGAGGTGGAAGTGTCGTTTGAGTGCACGAAATAGTTCCGAAGCCTGTAATATAATTAATGTATTTTAAATATGAAACACGTCGGGAAACATTTGCTGCTTTCCCATTAAAATTTTAATTAAGTTCTGTTAGAGGCTGGAGGCGCGGCAGAGAAATTCGGTTTCAATGCGCCATTAATTTCTATAATGGTACAGTTAGAAAACATTGAATAATTGCGAAATAATTACAAATTTATCCAGGGAATATAAAATTCACAGCTCGTAAAAATTATCCTCACAGTTCTTTTTATTTAATCTAGAAGCACTAATTAATCCAAGTCGAGCACACACAAATTTCACAGCGTTGTGGAAATATTTTAAATTCGCACCAAGAATTTCACGTAAACGTTTAACGAGATGCAAATAACTACAATAAATAACAATTTCTCACTTCTTCAAAAATCACATTACTCCACTTTCATCATAAATTAAATCTCCTCCCTTTCAAAAAGCTCTGGAAAAATAACAGATCCATAAGTCCTCGATCGCTTTATCGAACAAGAATCGCCTAGATTTCGTCGAATTAACTTTT